GTGCAGTGTTCCCTGTCCTCAGCCGTGAGTCTCTGCTTCAGGCTGCTGGCCTTGATCCAGGTCTTGCATACCATGTCTATGTGCACGGCCTTACCCTGCCTCTCCAATTTGGGCAACGCATTCCCCTCGCCACTGGCATGCTGGTTACCTTTGTGCCCGCTACAAATGGCGCGCCGGCAACCTTTGAGCTAGCCGTGCGGCTGCTAACCTCGGACGGCTGGAACCCCCGTGCCGAGATACCAGGTCCTCCTTCAGTACCAGGGCAACATTTCTGGGTCCTGACCGACGCGTTGCCACTGCGGTTCACTGTTGGTGCCGGCAGACGAGGATTTATGAAGGTTGACCTGGCTGCCATTTTGCAAACAGCCCCGCATAGACTTACATTCAAGTCCACTACGGTGCGTATTCTTGATGGCTTCAATCGAGGTTACCTGACTAGCGGGGTTGTAGTTGCCACCGAACAAGTCGTGCGCTTGCCCATCCCTCCCGCCAGGCATACCGACAGCCGTATCATTCTTGTACTGGATTGTCGCAGAATCCTGCGCGAGTTTGTATGGGATTTAGTCGTAGGCACTTATATCAAGGTGCAGGCTCTCATCGACCGTTTCCAGCCCCAATGCCCAGCCGAACATATCGTCTCCATCCGTGGGGCTCCGGTTGAACATAGGGATGCCGATGTGGTCTTTGTACTGCACGACGGGATCGTGCTTACAGTCGAGTTCGTGCAAGACTTTCTCGACCCTCCTACGGAACCGAACAGTCCCGATGACAGCCTGGGCCTAGACGACTCGGATGATTCTCCCGGTGACCCTCCCCCACCTGCGGTTGGGGCTCGGGATGTTGCTCTTGTCTCCCCCACTGCCGGTCGCAATAGACAACGCAGTCGTACTCCCAGGCAAGGCGGCGGCACAGTTACCGGAGCCAGCCCTTCTGCCCCTCTCCTGCTGTGCTACCGCCCAGAGCTTGGTTTTACACAGGGTCAGGCCAGCCATTCCCACGGTCAAGTTGACATGTGGACCGCTGTACTTACACAAGCCGCTCTACCACAGAGCATGCAGTGGACTACCTCTGTCCTTCCGTGGATGCGCCCTAGCTTCAGCTTGGATTCCTTTTGGCAACAATCCGTCGTCATTCATGTCCAGCATCCTGCGATGCCAAGAATCCTACAGGGCCTGACTGTCTCGGCCCTTAGCATTTGTGGTCCTGCCCCTGCAGCTCTGGCAGCTTCTGCGTTCAATCCTTCTGGTGGGGAAGCGAGTGCAGCCGACTCAGAGCCTTTTATTACTCCAGCCACTTTCGCCATTTTGAGCGTGCAGACAGCGATTGAACAGCTCGACTTGCAAATCCTTGTGCCACAATCGGTTGAGGACGTTCTGGACATTGTTGATGCATCGCGTGACCCTGCCAAACGAGCCTTGCGCCCTCACCTGGTGGAGGTCTGCCCACAGCCTGATGCTAGGTGGGGTGCTCTCATTGCACTACCTCCCTGGGCGCGACACTCCCTTGTGGTGTGTCTTGACCTGTCCGCCGTAGGTGGTGCTGTCTTTCCAGTCGAGGCCCCGCCTCTTGTCGACAGGATCTCTGTCCTGCTGCTCGCTGGAATGCCGTCCGACTCGGGTTGCCGCATCCACAGACCAGGCTCCCGGAGCGACATCATAGATGGTGCTGAGATTCAACTTGCCGTCGGCGAATGCGTTGTTTTCCTTCCTTTGGGACTTAGGACCCCTGATTTCCACAGCTTGACGGCCATGCTTAGGGATCATTTGCCTTGGGCCCCAGGGCCGCCCTTCGCTGCTGTGCCGGCCGACCCTCTGTACTGTATTGTTACAGATAGAGAATTCGGCCCTTTTTCCCTAATTCCGGCTGAGTCTCCCTATTTACATTTGCGGATGGCCGAACGTTTCTCCTTGGACAGCACCCGCATTCGTATCTGCCCCGCAAACCCCAAAGTTGCTGATGCGACTTTGTACGGCATGAATTGCCAAACGGTCCTCACTGTTAGTGATCAGAGGCCCGCCACTAACCCGCACTGTAGGATTGGGATGCTTGACTGCAGGCTGCTTCATGCAGGTTGGTCCCGGCTTGAGGCCCCTGAGGGCTGGATTTCCATACCAGCTGTTTGCAGCGATATCGCTCACTCCGTCCCAGCCGGCTGGAAAGTTCAGATTTCGGGTTGCCGCCCCCATTGGGAGTGGATGTGGATTCACAATGGCCAGGTTGTCGTCGTCTCTCTTGCCCCTGCGTGTGCACTTGATTCTGCAGTTGCCGACGAGCCAGGTCATCCCCCAGCCCTCTCATCAGATCTTTCTCCCGAGGTTCCACATCACAGCCAAGGCGGCGTAGCAGGCGAAGATTCTCAAGACGCTCAAGGTGACGATACCCCAGGCGCATCACATGGTCAGGGTCCCTACCGCAGCGCCAAGGCTGCGATTCATGTGCCACACGACTATATCAACCTCTGCCTGCGTTCACTGCAGCTCATCCTAGTTATCGGGTTGCTCGCTTGCATCGCCGGCGAGCGCACCTTCGTCCTTTGTTGCGCATGCGTTCTTCACGGACGTCCCGGGACAGTTAGAGTTGGGCTCCTTTTGCTCTGCGTCAGCGGCACGATGATCGGCACTGTCACTGCCACTGGACATGTCAAGCTGGACGGGGATAACGCCGAACCGGCCAAGCATCCCAGTCTTTTGCAGATTCCAGCGCGCCTGATCCCTACGCCCAGTAGGGCCGTTACCCTCCCGTGCTTTGCACCCATGCGCCTGTCATCGCATTGCGGATACTCCGATGGGCCTACGACCAATCCCAGGGAGGATCTTGATATCTCCGATGCCGACGCCAGACACTTCTTGAAGAAAGTCTTGCTACTCGCGGAGACGAGACCTTTCTGGATGCCAGAGCTATCCTTGAGGTTCTCAGTGAACATTTGTTTTTCAATGCAGCACCGCCGCCTCCGGCCCACTTGTGCCTTGCTGATTGCGTGCCTCTGTCCACACATCAAGCCGCGGCCCTTCGTCTTGAGGCACACTTGCCGCATGAGCTACCCACTGAGGACGTTGATTGGCTCGACTCTGACCTCACTGCAGTCTTGAGTTTTAAGGGTCTTTCCTTAGACGTCCGTACTGCCCTTGTCAATGTGCCCATATGGTGTCAGGCCGGCTCACCCACACCGGAGCGTATCGATGTCTACACTGATGGCTCTGCGTCAACGAACACTGGAGCCTTGGCCCCTTGTGCCTGGGCGTTCGCGGCATTTGCCATTGTCAACGGTCGGCAATTTCTTATCGGACAGGCAGCACATCAAGCAGCGCCACCTAATACTCCCTTCTGCTTAGGTGAGGTGTTGGACGATGCTCTGACCGCCGAATTGCTTGCCCTTTGCTGGTCCATGTGTTGGGCCTCGCAGCATTTACTGCATCTTTCCGCTCCGATTCACTTTTGGTACGATGCTTGCAGTGCTGGCGGTGGAGTGTTCGGTGCCTCGAAGCCGGTCAAGGGTGCAGGACCTGCGCACTACGCACCGCTTGCACGCTTCGCTACAGCGTTGCGGCACTACCTTAAATGCCAGGCGTCCAATCGCCCATGCACATGTCGCGGGCCACAGTGGCAATTTGGGCAACGAGCTCTGCGACGCTTTAGCCAATCTGGCGCGCAGAGCACCCGCTTCTCCGTTTGACCGTTGCTTGCCTGAGTGGCCTGCCCGATGGGCCGCACATCCGTTGGCTGAGTGGGCATGGTCCACTGTTCCGGGTCAGAGTGACATTCCTCGCCTTTTTTGCTTCGAATCTGAGGTCGCACTTGCCCAATGCCATGACCTCGAGCCCGTTACAGCCCCAGATCATGGCATCCAACACGCTCACAAAGCCGCAGAGGATGCCATATTCTCATTTTGCTGCATTAGCCTCAATGTACTTACCCTGCGTGACAAGGAAGCCAAGCTCCCTGCAGCTCAGGTTGGCATGCGGCTGATGGGCCGAAAAGACATCCTCAAATCTACTTTGGCAGGTGCTTCCCCTCTTTTCCTAGGTCTACAGGAAACTCGCCTTCCAAACTCAGAGATTCAGGCAGATGCTGATTACCTCATTCTTAATTCTGCGTCGACAGACCGCGGCATGGGGGGTTGTGCCCTCTGGATAGCCAAATCTATCCCAATCTACCGCACCAGCACTGAATCTGTTTACATCCGCTCCCAGGATGTCACTGTGGTCAGTGCCTCGCCAAGACACCTGACCGTGCACCTTCAGACCCCACGCATGAGGCTTCAACTGCAAGTCATTCACGCTCCATCTACTACTTCCTTCCCAGTTGAGGAAGTACAGGCGTTCTGGGATGCCAGAGCATGTGAGATCATGGCTCGCCCCGATGGCACCGACTTTATTGTTTTCAGTGATGCCAATGCCCGTCTCGGCGACGTCCATTCTGATCACGTTGGTGATCTTGGAGCCGAAGTCGAAGGCATTGCGGGAGCCCTCTTTCATGAATTCGTCATCAAAATTGACGCAATTGTTCCATCTACCTGGGCCCAGTGGCACCTCGGTCCACACGCGACCTGGTTCTCTCCTTTCGGCACCAGCTCTCGCATTGACTACATTCTAGTTCCGCGGCACTGGTCTGTTGCGGAGCTGGTATCTAGAACTATGCCAGATGTCGAGCTGATGCAGGCTCGCGATGATCATGTGCCTGTGCAGTTGATGTGCAGTTTCTCTCGCACACTGCCATCCATGGTCTATAGGACCACGCACAAGCAGGTTGTCCGGCCTGATCCTTCTGTTGCTGGGGCCTATGCCAGCAAGGCTCTCACACAGCTTGTCCCAGTCACTTCCTGGACTACAGGTGTTGACCAACACTACCGGACCCTGGCAGCAGCATGGGCAGAGGTTGGTAAAGAGCTTACTGTCGAGCAAGAGGCAGCTCCGCGGCAGCCTTATCTATCGCGCGCCACCCTCGACATCGTCGAAGAACGACATGCTCTCCGTGCCTCCCTTAAGGGGTGGGCACGTGAAGTCACCCGGCGGCGAATGATGATTGCCTTTGCTGCTTTCGTCTTGCACACGCGCCAAGACGCGTTCCGGGCAGAAGGAATCGCTGTTGCCGATCGTTGGCTTCGTGAAGCCGACCAGGCTGATGCGATCGCTCTTGCCAACTACCGACGGTCCACCCGTTCACTTCGACGGGCTGTAGCCCTCGATCGTTCTGATTACCTGGCCCGACTTGCGTCTGAAGTAGCCAGTGGCAGCATTGGCAACGCCAAGGCATTGTACAAGGTGCTGCGCAAAGCGTTCCCAGCTTCCAGACCGGCGAAACGACTGCAACTTCAACCACTACCTATGCTCCGACTTGCAGACGGCACTATGGCCCGTACCACTTCTGAGAGGGCGCAGGCATGGCGATCGCACTTTGCATCCCAAGAGGCAGGCGTACAGGCGAGCGACGATGAGTATGCCGCGGCTTTCGCCCAAAGTCAGCCGTTCCCCAGGACATTGGATGTTAGCATGCTCCCTACGTTGGCCTCTGTTGAAGGCCATATATTGGCAGCCCGTAATGCTAAAGCCGTTGGGCCAGACGGCATCTCGGCAGAGCTTCTGCGACTGGATGTGCCCATAACAGGTCGTCAACTTATACCCGTGTTTCTCAAGGCCAGCCTACGGGCCCGAGAGCCCGTGGCATTTCGTGGAGGGGACCTGTGTTGCTTGGCGAAACGGGCTGGCCATCTGCTTTCGTGTGACGCATACAGGTCAATCCTTGTTTCGTCAGTTCCCGGCAAACTTCTACACCGATGCCTGCGTGACTCCCTTAAGCCTCTGTTACTCAACTCACAGCCACCCTTCCAGGCTGGCGTGGCCCCCGGACAAGGCATTGAAGGCGTTGCCCTCGCGGTCCGCACCTTCTTCTCCCTTGGTCAGAGAGGAGGCACCAGCGCATCTCTCGTATTCTTTGATCTTCAAGCAGCCTTCTATCAGGTGCTGCGCCAAACCATAGTGCCTACCCAGAGCGGTGATGAGGATCTTTTACGGCTGCTTCATACCCTGTGTATCCCAGGGGATGCCATCTGCGAACTGAGAGACCAGCTTGTTCGCGCCGCACAGTTGCCGAAGCTTGGTGCCTCCTCCCATGCTATAGCTTTGGTACAGGACCTGTTTCGCGGAACATGGTTCCGCCTCTCCGGCTTTTCTGAGTTGGTGCTCACGCGGCGCGGAGCACGCCCTGGTGATCCTACCGCTGACCTCCTGTTCGGATTCACCCTTTCGGCCTTGTTTCGCTCGGTGCATCACTGCCTGGAATCCAGACATCTTTTGCCTGCACTGCCTTGTGCTGCGGAGCGACCGGGGTTCCTTGAGCAGAATGGGTCGGTCTCTCTTGGCTTTCCATCTTGGGCTGATGACTTTGTTGCGCCGCAAACCGGGTCCGGGTCCAGTGACTTGCTTTCTCGTACTTGTGCCACACTGACCGCGGTTGTCGACTTTGCCACATCCGCCGGCATGACTATCAAGTTTGGCAGGGACAAGACGGCCGCTCTGTTTCCCCCAGCAGTTCTTGGACTGGAAGATTCTCGGCTATGGCACGCAGAGGATGGCACATTACAGTTGCGCCTTTGCAACAGTGTTACGCATGCCATCTACGATGTTCCGGTTGTTGAGTCTTATAGGCATCTGGGTGGAATTGTGGTCTCCACAGGCAATCCCACGCCTGACTTACATTTCAGGTACTCGCAAGCCACCGGCACACTGAAACCTCTGCGCCGTAAACTCTTCGGCGCTCGGGAGATCCCGATGACCACAAGAGCATTTTTGTTGCGCTCACTTGTGATCTCGAAGTTTGCGCATTCTGTTGCTGCGCTCCTTCTTCAGGCTGCTTGCCATGTGCGTGTCTGGGAGCAGCACTATCTTGCTCTTTGGAGGGCGTTATTTCATCGGCGAGCCGCCGGCCCGCAAGTTCATAGTTTCCGAGTTCTTCATGAAGCTCATGCTGCTTCCCCCCCTCTTGCCTTGGCCAAGGCACGAGCCGGCTTCCTCAAGCGTGTGTTTGCAAACGGCCCCAGGGAACTTCTGGCCTTACTATGGGACCACTGGTGTCTTCACCCGTCCTCTTCGTGGCTGGCACAGCTTCGTGATGACATCACGCATGTAGCCCAATATGTTCCCTCGGTGCTCGACCTCTTGGCTACCTCTGATCCTGTCAGGTCCCTGTTGGAAGCCTACGACAGTGATTACTTCTGGTGGAGCCGTCAAGTCCGCACAGCCGAGAAGGCCTTCTTTGACGACTTAAGCGTCTGGTACAACGAGCGCCGCCTCGGCGCTGTGCACGACCATTCCGCATCAGGCACGCCGTCTTCCCAGGCAATCGCATGCTACCTGTGCTCTGCTGCGTTCCCATTGAGGAAGCACCTCCACGTGCATTTAGCGCGCAGCCATCAGGTCTACGCTCCAGCACGACACTTTGCTATCAGCAATGTGTGTACAGCTTGCCTTAAATTCTTTCCCGATGTCAGGCAGGTACAACAGCACCTTAAGTATTCCACGACCTGCTTGAAGCGGTGTTTGTACCTACATGCGCCCTTGACTTATGCGCAAATCCGGGGGTTGGAGGCGCCCCGCAGCAAGCGTGAAGCCAAAGTCGCGCATGGTAATTGGAAGGAGTTTACCGGCATTCCGCGCGGGTCCCGGGCACCTCAAGCCTATGGTCCCCTTCTGCCTACCTCTGAAGAAAGGTTCGCCACACCCGCAGACGACGAGGACCCCCTGTCCTGCCTATCCAGGGGTTTCGTCCCCTCGCCCGCACACGTGGTGTGGATCACCGACCACATAGCTTCTAGGAGTCAAGAAGGCAGGCGCCAAACGGCTCACCGCTTCTGGAGCAAACGACCCACGTCTCACCTCACGAGAATTTAATGCATTTTTGGGACGCATCGCGTCGAGCCCTAACACGGGGCCAGCGAATCGATAGTCCGAACAGGAACAGGAACAGGAACAGCCGTATTAAAATAAGGACCCAAAAA